ACACCCATAAGAAGATGTTTCATGCTAAACATCTAAGTTCTAGCTCATTGGGTTTTTTCAAAGAAGATTTTTTTAAGTTTTTACTATACACATATAGTTAAAAACAATGACACCACTGGGGCAGGGCCAGTTTTGACCCCCCGGCTTTTATTTGAACAAACTTTGTAGATATTTACTTAAAGATGTTTCATGCTTAATATCTAAACTCAAGCTATTTGGGTTTTTTCAAAGAAGATTTTTAAGTTTTTGCTATACACATATAAGGAAAATCAATGACCCCCGGGGCGGGGCCAGTTTTGACCCCAGGGCTTTTATTTGAACATACTTGGTAGACACCCATTAGAACATGTTTCATGCTAAATATCTTAGCTCTAGCTCTTTGAGTTCTTTAAAAGAAGATTTTTTAAGTTTTTACTATATGCATATAGGGAAAATCAATGACCCCCTGGGGCGGGGCCAATTTTGACCCAAGGGCTTTTATTTGAACAAACTTGGTAGACACTCATTAGAAGATGTTTCATGCTAAATATCTTAGCTCTAGCTCTTTGGGTTCTTTAAAAGAAGATTTTTTAAGTTTTTACTATATGCATATAGGGAAAATCAATGACCCCCTGGGGCGGGGCCAATTTTGACCCCAGGGCTTTTATTTGAACAAACTTGGTAGACATTTACTAGAAGATGTTTCATGCCAAATAACTAAGCTCTAGCTCTTACAGTTCTTTAAAAGAAGATTTTTTAAGTTTTTACTATATGTATATAGGGAAAATCAATGACCCCCGCGGCGGGCCAATTTTGTCCCCAGGGCTTTTATTTGAACAAACTTGGTAGACACTCACTAAAAGATGTTTCATGCCAAATATCTTAGCTCTAGCTCTTTGGGTTCTTTAAAAGAAGATTTTTTAAGTTTTTACTATATGCATATAGGGAAGGGCCAATTTTGACCTCAGGGCTTTTATTTGAACAAACTTGGTAGCCACTCATTAGAAGATGTTTCATGCTAAATATCTTAGCTCTAGCTCTTTGGGTTCTTTAAAAGAAGATTTTTTAAGTTTTTACTATATGCATATAGGGAAAATCAATGACCCCCCTGGGGCGGGGCCAATTTTGACCCCAGGGCTTTTATTTGAACAAACTTGGTAGACATTCACTAGAAGATGTTTCATGCCAAATATCTAAGCTTTAGTTCTTACAGTTCTTTAAAATAAGATTTTTTAAGTTTTTACTATATGCATTTAGGGAAAATCAATGACCCCCCGGGGCAGGGCCAATTTTGACCCCAGGGCTTTTATTTAAACAAACTTGGTAGACATTCACTAGAAGATGTTTCATGCCAAATATCTTAGCTCTAGCTCTTTGGGTTCTTTAAAAGAAGATTTTTTAAGTTTTTACTATATGCATATAGGGAAAATCAATGACCCCCTGGGGCGGGGCCAATTTTGACCCCAGGGCTTTTATTTGAACACACTTGGTAGACACTCATTAGAAGATGTTTCATGCCAAAGATCTAAGCTCTAGCTCTTAGGGTTGTTTAAAAGAAGATATTTAAAGATTTTTCTTTCGGGTTCGGGCATGAAACATCTTTGGGTTTCAGAGTTCTGCATGGAATTAAATTCTTTGAACAATTTTTAAAGGTGACCACCAAAGGAACATTCCTGTGAAGTTTGGATGAAATTGGCTCAGTGGTTTATGAGGAGATGTCATTTAAAGCAAAAGTTTACGGCTGGACGCCGGACGGACGCCGGACGAAAAGCGATCACAAAAGCTCACCCTGTCACTTTGTGACAGGTGAGCTAATAATGGCAGCAGAATTTACAGCAAGAAAACTAAATGATTATACTAAACATGAACTCGATCAACTCAACTTAATTGAAGCTCGTCCAATTCATCACCTATGTGAAATATGCGGCCAGGCAACATACAATAGATGGCAAAAACAAAGACACAAGAAAACACACAAGGATACCATTACCAAATACGAATGCTCATGGTGTAAAAAACTGTATGCCAGAAAAGACAATCTTATAACACATTCCCGCAAAATACATGGATTTGAAGAACTCACATTTAATACAACTGAAATACAACAACAAAACAAACTGGATACAATCAAACAACAGAATGGCAACACTAACATGAAAATTCTTCTAGAAAAACCCAAATTTAGAATCGTCATTAACAAAACTGGAACACCAACCATTAAGAAAAAAAACTTAAGAACAACACATAGTCATAAGAACGAAAACATCACCGCTAAACAGAATCCAGAAACAATGGTCTACAACATACCGAACCCTATATCACCAATACCAGCAAGCCCTAGCACAAGCTCTGAAACCATCTGTCAGGATGAGTACCTTTGTTTTAACTCGGACAATGAACTTATAATCAATGTAAATAGAATATATGGACTTCTCACTAACAATTTAAAAATTAAATAATACAGACCAGCATTTAACTAATTAATTGGCATATTGCCAATATTGACTCTATTTTTAGTAACAATTTATCTATATTTAGTAACATACGTCATATAACGTAGCCGTTTTTTTACCACCTTAAGAGACAAATTTTTAGTAAAATTGTCCTGATGAAGGTTGTATTGACCGAAACTAGTAGACACAAATAAAATATTGTAAACTTGCTCTGGTGTTGACGTGTATTACTCGTTAATTCATATTTCCTCGTTTGAATAATTATGTAAATTATGCCTTCTTTGAATGATTTTACAATAAATTGTCCGAACAAAAAACATAAAAATCAAATATATTTGAAAAATAAGAACATATGAGCCACGTCTTGACAAAACCAACATAGTGCGTTTGCAACCAGCATGGATCCAGACCAGCTTGCGCATCCGAGCAGTCCGATCAGGATCCATGCTGTTCCCTATCAGTTACTCTATTTGTAATAGGGTTGGTAAGCAAACAGCATGGATCCTGATCAGACTGTGCAGATGCGCAGGCTGGTCTGTATCCATGCTGGTCGGGATATGGGGATATGGATAAAAGCCCCCCCCCCCCCCTCCCCCCCCCCGGACGACACAGCCCTCCCATCTAAAAATGACAAGGTGGCCAAAAGCCCCCCCCCCCCCATGAAATTTACACATAGGACAAAAGCCCCCCAATCAAAAATACAGGTAGGACAAAGACCCCCCCCCCCCCCCCCACCAGTCCAAGAGCGATCAGTAATTACGTGTCGCCTCATGATGGCCAATTTCACGTTGGGATAAATTTTGTGACAGACGGACAGACAGACGGACAGTGCACAACTAGACTTGGTACTGATCATTCCTGTAAAGTTTGGATAAAATTGCACCAGTAGTTTATGAGGAGTAGTCCGGACAAGCTTTTGCGTATCTGGCGTATCACAAAAGCTCACCCTGTCACTTTGTGACAGGTGAGCTAAAAACATAATTCTGCATTTAACCAAAGAAGTTCATGAATAATTGAAACAAGGTCATAAACACTAGCATGTACTGAGTGTAATGGACGGGCATTTCTGAGACTCTTACTTTAAAATATTTCGCATTACATTTTGGGTTTTATATCACGGTTTATCATTTTTCATAACCATATATCTGTCTGTTCCTGTAACAATACTTCTTCGGAAAACAATGAAATGCTGTGGATTGGATGTCATCAAAAGTTATAATTCAATTCGTTCATTACGGTGCATAATTATTAATATTAATTTTTAATTCGTGCAGATTAATTAATCAATATTAATGTATTATTAAACTCTATCTTAGAGATTAAATACCAATGATTTATTTCATTTATTTATTATTGACAATGTCTTTATTTCTTTTAGAACTGTATGTTATACTTTTGTTGGCGTTTTAACAATTTGTAAACTGTCTATTTAGTTTTAATTGCCATTACTGGTCTGTCAATCTTTACACTTATACCGCAATTCAAAGTCACGATCTTTTTTTTAACCCTGAACCTCCTGAAATCTGTAAATAGACTAGCCCGGAATGTAAAAATGTAGAACTCGTTCGGTCAAGGCTAAGAGTCGTATAGCATGACGTCATAAATAAGTTTGTGCCGTGTGCAAATTTGATTGACACTTTTTGAAGCATAATTTCGATCACATGACTTTTGTTTACTGAGCATCTATTGGTCAATGTCATTTATCCCCGCTCTTTTTTACTTACAGAGCTGGTTTAGTCTCATTTAGAAATTGAATACCATTGGGATCACGAGGCGCTCATAAAAAAAAAAGAAGTTTAAAAAAATAATTGCATACAAACAACGGCAGTACTAAATGCTGATGAAATTTACATAAAAGATTGATAAGTGTTTTTATATATTTGACAATTAAATATTTCTCGGAACAGGGGATATAAAATGTTTGTGTTCACTGACAGGCAAAGGATTTTTTTATATGTCTCGTGTTTCAGAAAGTTTTAGACATTTTGGAAAATTTTGAGGCAATCAAGCATTTGAAAAATATTTAATTTGAATTTTAAAAAGATACGCTTGGAATAAATTTTTATGTTATAGCAATCTCCATGTTTTGGGCTAGCTTTGTGAATGCGTGTACTGGTCGGGAACCTTCAACCGGACACTTTGAACATTTTTCCATACATATTTCATATTTTCAAACCTAGAGACCTGAATACCTTTAATAATTGGGCTATATGCAATAAATTATTAACACTAAAATTGGTACTTACTTGTGGAATAGGCTCATCTGCTGGAGTAAGGTGCTCAACATGCTCTTCCTGCACTATTGTCTCACACTTCTTTTCCCTAAGATTTTGAATCAATGTCAGTGGCGGTAAATCATCAACATGTCAGTGGCGGTAAATCATCAACATCTGTTTGAAATTAAATAGAGAATACTAAATTTAATGAACATGTTGAATAAAATCATATTATGCAAGCCTCTGGTGAACAAAATATTGTTTTATTCAACGAGTTCAATAAATTTAGTATTGAAGCTACACATATATTATTTATAAAAAGAAGATTAAACTGTTAAAATGAGTAATTTTTTCAGTCAAGCTCCCGTGGTGTAACGCTAACATTATCGCCCGTTAACGTTGTGATTCTATGTAGAGCAAATAATGTCACATCAATTAGTGTTATTACACTAGTGTAAGATCGTTTTTATGAAATGGCTTTATTACACTCCTATCACTATGTGTTAAGTAAGGAAATCTAAATGACATTGGAAAGAAAACTTTTCAGGTATAATATTTATAATCAGAAATATATTGTGCCATGTAATGGGATCCTTTATTTATGCTTAAAAATGACATCATTGATCTTCCTTATTTATATCTTGTTAGAATTAGATATTATTTTTGAATTATTTTAATTATATAAAAGACTATATATTTCATAGGCAAAGGTTTGCTAGAAATGACTAAATTATTCCTGCACAAAAACAAGTAAATATTTTATTGCTTTACCTGCTGATTAGCAATATCTATTTTTACTTGCCGTTTAGCTTTATATATTTTTTTTCTTTCTTCCTTGAAAAATACATTATATAAATATGTAGAAAATGCCCCCTATTTCATTTAGTGTAATTCTTTAAAGTTTAAAAAGAAACTATTAATAAGAATGGCAATTTAACTGACAAGCAATCCGCTGTACCCTTAAATCCACTATTGCCTAAGCAACTGTAATGATGTTAAATTGAATGCTTACCTTCCTCTTCTAATTCTGATAAGAAGCTGTCCCACCAGGATGCAATTTTTTCTTTGTTGTAAAACCTTTTTTTTTGTCATAAATATTAAAATATTAAAAAAGCATTTATATTATGGAATATTAAATTTGAAAATAAAAAAGCTATACATTATACTTATTTCTTCAATCGGACTATTACACAATATATGTACAGCTGAAAAATGTAATCCTCACATATGCCTTTAATGAACGTTTCTATTGGAAACTGAGGCGAAAACAAATTTAACCACCAAACATAAAGTCCAACTTTATAATAATAATTAAATTTTTCTTGACGTGTTAGAATGGAAATAGATAATTATTCTTTGTGCATTATTGTATAATAATGCATGTTTTTCCTTCAAATGCTTTGTAATTAATCATTACTACGCATTTGAACTCGAATCGCATATTATTCTACAACATTGCACTCAGAATTGATATCTATTTCCTAAATAATTTCAGTTAATTATTTAAAATATTATGGCATTATTAGTTGTTTTTATTATAAAATTAAACAGTTTTTATAAATAAAAGACAGAACTTATTTTAAAATTTCCAACAATCATTAATTTTAAAACTATAAAATTTACAAAAAACAGTAAAAAATTTAAATATCTTAATCCCAACGGTTGAAAGTATTAGGGGTAGGATAGCAAAAAAATTTTAAAAATATTTAAAGTTAAAAACTATGTTATTTTAATAAACTAAAACATCTTTTAAAAAAATAAAAATCAAAAATGTCCAATTGTTTCCTGTAAAACGGCTTTTAATCTGGGAACCCAATTTCACATTAATTCATGCAAAAGTGAAAAATTTCAATGTTTAGATTTACCTTGCTACTTGATCTGTGTCGTGCCTCAATCTCTCAAAATCTAAATTGTCAACAGTTGGTTTAATTTTGTTAATTGGACTATCATCCATATCTTGGAGTATGTATTTGTCACTGCCTGTGCTTGTTATCCATTTCTTTGAAATAGTAAAATAGTCCTTGAATAATTATCTTAAGTCAACTTTGTTCAATGTTTTAGTATAAAATTGTCTCCCTTAAAAGTTAAAAAGATTCAAGATTATAGTAATAATTTTCATGTGATTTTAATACAACTTTTTTTTCAACATTTTTACATGTATTTCTAACGCAATAATGGCCTTTTTTCATATTTTGGCCTCTTTTCAAGTTTTGGGTAATTAACATTTGGTGTAATTGCTTTTGTTGAATCTGGCAGTCTGATCATAGGCCATATGGGCCTTTAACTTGGACAGAAGTATCGACCCGGACAAATAATCATAGGCCCAAAACATTTTAAAATTTATTGTGCATAATAAATTATGTTTTATTTGTATCAACAAGATGCAATTTAGGCACAATTGCATGGATTGTCAGTCTGCCACTTTTCATAAAAATTCTTTTTTTCTGTTTTTAAATACATGTACTTTTCATCATTACTCGTCAATCTACTGCTTTTCACTTTATTTGTTTGAAATATGAAAAGAAATTATCAATATCAAAAAAGCAAGCGCTGCATTCAATGTTTCCTGGTTTCACTTGAAAATGATTTAACACCATTACCTTGTCTGTGGACCACTTCTTATATTTCATTATCGCCTTCCCATCTTCATTTCTGGTGAACTTAAACACATGTGGGTGGGAGTGATTTTTAATATTGTTTAGTTGTAACCACTCCTGAAAATTATAAACCTCTGCTATCTTCATACCTGAAATTTAGCAGATTTTACATCAATCACATTCGGATTATTTGCTTATTTTTAAAGGAAATATACTTTATAACGATGCAATAAAAATTGTAAGAGATAATTGAAAATGTAAAAGTGTATTTTTAACCAGAAAATATAAATTTTTCTAGACTAGTTCTGTATATATTGCAGTTTATTTGGAAACTCCAGTTCATGCAAGCTGTGATGACAAAATTGGCTTTTAAGATGAGATTTAGCTGCCTCATTAAAATTTGCAGGTAATGTGCATTGAGAAATTCATAGAATACCTGTCACTGGAAGCTGCTTGTAGCATTTTTCAAAGGTCGTTATCAAATCATCCATGATAAATATGTCTTCTCTGGAAGCTCTGACAGAAAACCTGTTATAAATGTATAATCAGAATTTAAGTCAAGGCTGCAATGTTGTATACAGACATGAATCTTGTATCATATAAGAGTTACCCTTCAAATTTACTTCCCCTTTATGTAATCACGGACACCGACTAGGAGTGTAGACATTGAATATCACGATATCATCGATATTCATCATCCTATTCAATTTCGATACACATTTGCAAATGTCAATACAAGATAAAATTAATTTATTTCTTTTTGTAAATATGTACCTGTCAATTTTGCCTAATAAGAGAAGTCACTTTTTTACAGTTATCCAGGCTAACTTGAACTTTAAACTCTGTTTTCAAATGTGAGTGACGAAAATAACAGAAAAAAGAAACTTTCTGTTAGTTTGTAGTAATTCTAGTCTTAATAGAAGCATGCATAACACCATGATCACAATTTATAGCACACATTTAAATGTTTTTTATTGTATCTGTTAAAAGTCGATATATCGTCTATATTTGTCTCTCCATATATCGATACAAAAGTGTCCATCAATGACAGCCCTACTTTTGTGCCCCTGAATTTTATAAACTTAAGTATTATTTTTAACTTTTTTGCTTATAGTCATACGGTCAATTTCAGGTTTTAGTTTTGTTTGAAATAGTGTTTGCAGTATGATGATTTTTTGATATGTTATGTTGCTGTTTGTATGGGAATATCCATCGCGAGTGGAGCTGCCCATTGGGCGGTAACGAGGCTTGCTGATTAACTGCCATGGGCGGGTTCCTGCAGGTCGGATATTCCGAACCATAAACATATTTCGGATATTTTTTCTTGCATATTCTGCGCCATATTATTTCATATTTAAAATTGTTTATCTCGGTATGATATATATTCATGGAAATTAAAGTCATTTCATCCATAACTAATTTCTTACAGTAGCGTATGAACTTGCAACTTGTCTGTCTCAGAATAACAACGGCTAAATGAAGTCCTCCTAAGCACATAAGCGGGGGCCGTTATTCATTTTGCGTGCCGGTTATCACCTTCCGACCCTAGTCTGCCGTCTATTAATCTCTTAATAATCACATGATGTGCAGAGCGCAATAATTGGGTTGCTTACCCCGGTATCTAGGTCACACTTAAAGGTCAAATGTTAAAAAAAAATAATTTCATTAGTAAATGTCTACTTCTAGTGTCCGCTCCATAACTTTAAACAATTGAAAAATTTTTTTACATAATAGAACACAATGTTCACAATGTAATAAATTCATCAAAGGATCCAAATCAAACTTCAACCTACACTACAAGACACATGAGAAAACAATTACGATGTTCATATGCTTCCATTGATCAAGAATACACAAGAAGGGACATTCTTAAAAGACACTGCCGTAAAATACACGGCATGGAAATGCAAAGATACCAAACTAAAACGGAGAAAAGAACAACTGACTTAGACGAAATCAAACCAGTAAAACCATGGCAACCACCTTTTGAATGTACATTAAACACGAAACCAACAATTATACCTAAATTTCGAATCGTTCAAGGACAAAAAAATTGGCTAGCCAAAAAATTTACACCGGAATTTAATTGCACACAAATGATAAAGGAAATGACAGTAGAAGAACCACTATCACCATTACCGGACTCTCCATTTAGATCCAACGAAAATTCGCCGACACATACAATCTCAGATGTAACAATTTGCCAAGACGAAAAAGACGATTTTCTATACACAAAACACATGGACATAATGATTTACTCGATCTATGGTATTTTTAATTAAATAAACAATAACTTCACAATAACTATAAACATTTATTATTATTATTTTCTAATTATTCATACAAATAACTATATAGGGACAAAAGAACCACCTAACAATAACTTCTATAAATAGATTTGATCACGTGACAAAAAGAACCGTCAAAACTGTACCTTAGATGAAAAATTCTGATATATCTGTACCCTGATGAAGGCTATTGAATAGCCGAAACGTAGGTCTTAAATAAAATTATAGAAACCTGACCCACTTTGTTTCGTGTGTTTCACTTTCCTTATTCTTTTTATTAGGTGTTTATTTTGTATAAATTGTTGTCACTTGTGAATTAAAACATTGATTTTCAAAGTATTTTTGTGACTAATATTATAGTAATATAATAATTATATATATATATTTTTTTTTATCTATAAGGTTTTATTTGTTTGAACTGAAATTCAATGTCACTGATGGTTTGCTCACCTATGTTGTAAAATATACATTAGTGTATTAGTGACTAGACATTACTGATAGATTACCCTAACTTTGGGATAATTATATCAATAAATAAATTGATCTGGCCACATCTCATTAAATTGGATTTCGATTTGAGCATACACTTAAATTCCTTGTTTAATTCAATGCACCATTTTATGTATATAATATATTTGAAATGCTATATTGCAGGTTTTGTTTGAAGTTATGAATTTTGGGTTACTACTTATAGTATATAAGATGAGCAAGATCGACAAGGAAGGGCGACATTCAATGAACATGACATTTACTCTTGTTAACTACTGCCATCATTGCCAAGTCGCGCATCTGGCAATCTTTTCAACTTAATTCAGTTTATCTTCATCGATCTTGAACGCTTCAGCCATGTTTGTTTTCACTCGTGGTTATGACTAAAATACGTACTTAATCTCGTTTGTAGCTGCGAGCCGACTGAGTCATCTCGCCTGTGTTTGTAATATTCGTTATTATTTTATTTTTTCTACTTTTGTTTTTGAGCGGACTATAGCTGTCAAAAATCTTCTTTAAAAAAACTGAAAGAGCTAGAGCTTAAATATATGGCATTAAACATTGTCTGATGAGTGTCTACCAAGTTTGTTCAAATTAAAGCCCTGGGGTCAAAATTGGACCAGCCCCGGGGGTCATTGATTTTCCTTCTATGTATATAGTAAAAACTTTAAAAAATCTTCTTTTTAAAAACCCAAAGAGTTAGAGCTTAGATATTAAGCATGAAACATCTTCTGGTGAGTGTGTACCAAGTTGGTTCAAATAAAACCCCATTGATCAAAATTGACCCGGCCCCGGGGTACCCCCATAATTTTGAAATTCTAGATGCAACACTGTGCAAGTATTTAAAATAAATATCCAATTATTTTATTGTAAAAAATTACATCTGCAAGCTAGCCTATTCAGATATTAAAAATTAAAAAAACAACATTTAAAATGTTTTTGTTTTTTCTTTTAGTAGTATATAAAATCCATATTACCTGCTGAAAAGTTGGTCTATATCCTCATGTGTATGTCCAACCATTAAAAAAGAAACTTTCACTTTCTTGAAAATGTTTGCTTCCACCAACTTGGCAACAAAGCCTAGTACATGTCTGAATTGTAAAATTTATAGAACAGTTCATTTGCAGTAAGTGTAATTATTCACTTCAACATACATGTATTATGAATTATTAAATACAGGATATGGAATGAATGTTTTGAATTAATTTTTATTAAGTCTTAATAGGCAATGAGTAGCTTAATTAATTAATGATATTCTATAATTGATTTTATAAACAAAATGTATACTGTTGAATTGCAAAAGAATCACACCATGTATCACCAGTGCTTTCTCCATGGGAATGGTGACGATACCAGACAGATTGGGGAAAATTCCATTGGTTTGACTCTATAAGATGCAAAATATTCATTGGGAATTTCTTTTCTCCTGGGAATCAATAATAATTATGCATAATATACACTTTTAAACCATGTATTATTAACTTTAATGATAAAAAAAATAATATTTTTTACTACTTATTGAAATGATCTCAAATTTAATGCTAAACCTGTTCTTATTTTGCCCAGGACAGTTGTCGAGCTGAAGATAAAGAACATCAGGCGGACATCAGGCAGGAAATCTAACAGGGAAAGAATATGCACTAGCACCGATAAAGTGTAGGAAGCTCCATGTGCCCATTGGAAGGCATCAACGAAGCCGTACACTCCAATGCCATGGTTTTCAACGACCAAGTTTTGATGTGACAGAAATCAATAGGTCAAAGTGCACTGAAGTTATTGAGTAGAAGCTGAAAATTCTATTGTAAGCAAATGACCTTGAACTTGCTCCCAGATATCTAAGTGGCAATCCAAAGCTGCCACTCAGCAATTTTGGTGTCAAAAGGTCAAAGCAAACTCAAGTTATAACTTGAAAACTAAATACATTAACTTTGATCACAGACACCTGGGTAGCAATCCCAAGCTTCCTCTTGATATAAGCTACCCATTCATAAAGTTTGGTGTCAATAGGCCAAAGCAAACTCAAGTTATTGAGCGGAAACTGAATTTCTATTTTTAGTAACAGTGACCTTGACCTTAATCACAGACACCTGGGTAGCAATCCCAAGCTGCATCTAAATATAAGCTACCCATTCATCAAGTTTGGTGTCAATAGGCCAAAGCAAACTCAAGTTATTGAGCAGAAACTGTATTTCTATTTTTAGTAACAGTGACCTTGATCACAGACATCTGGGTAGCAATCCCAAGCTGCCTCTTGATATAAGCTATCCATACACCAAGTTTGGTGTCAATAGGTCAAAGCAAACTCAAGTTATTGAGCAGAAACTGAATTTCTATTTTTAGTAACAGTGACCTTGACCTTGGTCACAGACACCTGGGTAGCAATCCCAAGCTGCCTCTTGATATAAGCTATCCATACACCAAGTTTGGTGTCAATAGGCCAAAGCAAACTCAAGTTATGGAGCGGAAACTGAATTTCTATTTTTAGTAACAGTGACCTTGACCTTGATCACAGACATCTGGGTAGCAATCCCAAGCTTTGTCTTGATATAAGCTATCCATACATCAAGTTTGGTGTCAATAGGTCAAAGCAAACTCAAGTTATTGAGCAGAAACTGAATTTCTATTTTTAGTAACAGTTACTTACCTAGGAACATTTTCTTTATTTCATAGTATGTACTGCGGGGAAATCAAATACCAGCACACTTAGAAAAGCATTTAGGCATACATTTTGGCTACCAATATTGAAAGTTGTTGATAATTTCATGTTCTCAATGCTGCAATTTAATAGAAAACACATTGAACAAGTAAAAAAATGATATTGCTAAATGCAGGGTTCTAATTTAAGTTTATACAGCATGGAAATGCAAGCACACCTGGAAAAGCATTTTGGCTACTAATATTGAATGTAGTTATTAACTTCATGTTCTCAAAGCTTCAATTTAATTGAAATACCTTGAAGAAATGGAAAAAAAAATGTTATAATGCTTGAGCCACTTTAAATCTCGTACAGCTAACAGAAATTTCCTGTGCAATTGTTATCAATTGCATAATCATGGTTTTGGCAAGTGCCCACTGCAGCAATTGATGATTGTTATTATGCAAGCTATAGTATCTGATGTTGATTACTGTAAAATCTATTTCAATCGTCTTTTTTTTAGGTAAATGTGAAATTATTTAATTCTTGACTAAAAACAGAAATGAGTTTTAATAACTATTGTCAATGTTGTTTCTGACATTCAATTGGCATGCAGCCTATATATGATATAAATTGTTATATCTCGATATGTTTTAATTTTAATAATTGTCTATGTGTATTATACTGATGAGAAATGCCAGTTCAAATAGCTTAAGTCTTAAAAAAAATGAATGTATTCTAAGCAATGTGAACTATTTTATTTCAATTGAATAACCCCTGGAAATAGAGACACTACTAATTTTTTATTCACAAAGCATATAAAGCTATAATTCGTTTCAAAATATGTCATTATCTTTATTTAAAAACTTAAATTAATTGTAAATGAGTAGATTTTCCCTTCATTAATTATTTTATGCCTCAACAGCTTTCTCATCTTCATTTCTGGTGAACTCGAACACGTGTGGGTGGGACTGGTTTTTTTTTATATTGTTAAGTTTTAACCACTCGAGAAAGTTGTGAACTTCTGCAGCAGTTCTGCTATCTTCATACCTTAATTATTGCAGATTATATATGAAACACATTTTAATTATTTGCTTAATTTTGAATATTATTCTTTATATATTTACTTTTCAAAATGAAAATGTTAGAGGTAATTGAAAGTGTAACATCATACTTGTCAAGTCTCTAAATAATATGTAAGAAATAGGCTTATCATCAATAAAATTGTTACCTTGAATGGTCTCTAATCCAGTTCAGAATGTATTCAGATCTATCCATTTTTTTCATTGCCTGAAATGTTTGTCTTGCCATTTCTACAGTTGTTACACTAAGTGCAACAGCACACATTTTCAGACAGCAGAAAAACGTTGAAATCTCATTTGGTGACATTTGTTTCTTTGCTGAAAAAGAAATTTTTTGGTCATTAGAAAGTAACCTCACCCAATTTGACACTTTGCAAAGTACAAGGCATAGTCAGTCAAAAATAAAATTTGATTAATTAGGTCATTTTTGGCTCACCTGACCTAACTCTGGTCTATAATCAAAAATCTACAATGGACATTAATCAATAAATAACTTATAAGCTATTTATTTCTAACACTGAAAAATGGTTGTTTCTGGTGAGGGATTCAGGGCCGGTGATTTTTTTCCAATTTTCAAAACAACCTGTGGCTTACTGAAGGGGAAAATATAGCGTATTTTATTTTTTTAAATGGGTTTTGATACGCATTCTTAAGAAATCAATTGCGTATGTTATAAAATTAATTGCGTAAATACGCAAATACACACCTTATCTGTTGCTCTGCTAGCACCATGGATAATTACCATAATTATTGTTCCATTTTTACTTACATTTATTTAGTTCATTTAACATGTGTACATGTATAATTAAGAATTCTTAACACTAGAGGTCATATTTACATAAATACTTATTGTCATGCCTTAATACTTAACAAATTGTTAGAAAACATACCTGTTTTAATTAAGTATACTAATAATTTTATTCATCTTCACTTCTTTGTTATGAAAATAAAAATTTTCAATTTTATAGTACATGACCGCCATTTTGTCATACTTCTGGTTTAGTTCTATTTATAATCTCAACCTGAGGTCAGATTCATATATATGTTTTCTGAGCAAAGTTGATTAATAAATTAACTGTTATGTATTATTTATTGATTTGAATTGTATATTTGTTCTAATAAGGAAGTATTATGACATTTGTTTTCTATTGTAACCTTGAAACACCTAATTTGCATACCAAAAAATATTGGTACTCATTTGCATACCAAAAGCTAATACCTGAGCGTTCGTATACCAAAAAATCACTTTGCCTCTGTCCTTACAGTAGAGTAGATGTAGAAATTTTGTCTCATCCAAATCTTTCATATTTTCTAATAAAAGTTTCATTTATAATTACTAAATTTCATCTTGAAAAGGTATCTTAAAATATATTATTTTAAACTTGTTACCGGACGTTCAGTATTTTGTTAATAAACTGTCGATTTTCTGACTTATTCTTTTTGAGCACATTATTCGGTATAGCATACATTTGACGGCACTTTTAGTTTATATAGATATTCGATCTGACCTCGATCTTTTATAGTTTTCACATTTATGCAATTTATTTATGCAGAAATCATAACAGTATTTATTGATTCATGCATTTGGTCTAAATGTCAGCCAGAGTTATTGTTAAGGCCCATTACAAAAATAAATCATAATTTAAACCAAAAGGAATGGCTTTGTCCTTAATTTTAGTTAGTTTTCCATGTGTATTTGTAATTGGCCGCTACCAGGCTCGTTGCTTACGCTACCAGTAATTCTTTAGATTTACCCTTCACGTTAATACTGACTAACTTTAGCAATTTATTTGAATAATTGCTGATGTAGTACCCTTGCACATTTCAGTAAATTGTACCCATTAAAACAACTGGACTATAAAATCTGAGAAAAAATTTGTTTAGAGAGCAAAACAGGTGAAAGTCGAGAGAAAGGTCATACACAGGATAGAGGGGCTCTACAAATTACTGTAAATTTAGAATATGCTCTGTTTCTAGAAACAATTGTATTTCCAATTTTCATCATCAAAACACTTGCCGTATCAGCATTTAGTCTTCAGTAATATGCATTATGATTATACAATACTGAATTTTCATAAAAAGGGCATTTATAGTTAAAAAAATGAAATAAACAACATTTTTTAGTAAACCTAAAAAGATAAAAGAAAAATATAAAGGTCATGCTTGGTAAAAGGTCAAGTCTAAGTACACATTCATGTTCACTGAGGAAGGGGATTTAAATGTCTTGTTCTGTTTAAAATGTTTGTTATATTCTAACATGCCAAGTTAAAAAAAATTCTATTGAACAGTTTTAATTTTGCCTTTGTCGATATGAAAACTTCCTTAAAAATACACAGACCATAGAGTAAAACTGGCTGTCATGTATCTTTCAAATTTTCTGCCGATCAATAATGGATTCACATTTGAAAAATTTGATAATTTTTGTGCCCCCATTATTGGGGGGATCATTTAGATTTACCCTTGTTCATCCATCCGTTCCCTTTTTGTGTCGCACGTAGCTCAAAAAGTTTTTGACCTATAGTCATGAAACCTTACATGAATGTTGCTCAGCATGTGTAGTTGTGCACCTGGGTATTTTCGTGTGGATATTTTTAGAGTTATTGCCCTTGACTTAGTAAAAATTTT